TTAACAATGACAATGGCAGACAGAAAAATTAACAAAGAAAATTATAATAATAATGAACTTTGCGACTTAGAGATAAACAATTCTTCCATTGTTTCTAATTCAAAACAAGAAAATGATAGCTCTATAAAAACGTTAATGTTAACTTTTTTTTAACACAACAATGAATAATTTAAAAGAATAAAATAAAGAAATAAAAGAAAATAGAAGGAAATTGATAAATCATTTCAACAAAATAAAAAATGATAATGAAGATATGAAGCGAAGTTTAAATTCAACTAATATCGAACTAAAAGAAAATGGGAAATCAAATGAAGAAGATTTCAACAGAGTAATGAATAATCAAGAAGAAAACAGAAATGAAGATTACAATAAACTAAGAAATATAATAAAAGAAAATGATAACAAACTTGGAAATGAAATGGAAGAAGATATTGAAAAATCAACAGAAGAGAATAAAAGTGAAATAAAAGATAAAATGGAAGACAATAAAAAAGCTGAAAATTAGAGGAAGGTGGTGAACAAATAATTGTAATTAAAATAATTGGTAATTGGTTGACTGTCGTGGATAATGAAGAGAAGAATAGTTGGGGTGTTCAGTCAAAAAGGAAGGCAAAAATAAATTATAATATTTATTTTTTACATATGCCGACGTTTCGACCTGAAGTTCAGGCCTTCATCAGGGCTTTCTCCTTAAGTGTCGAAGGGAGAATGGAACAGAATGTCATGTTCGATACTTAAGGAGAAAGCTCTGATGAAGGCCTGAACTTCAGGTCGAAACGTCGGCATATGTAAAAAATAAATATTATAATTTATTTTTGCCTTCCTTTTTGACTGAACACCCCAACTATTCTTCTCTTCATAATTGTAATCAAAATAGGATCAATGAGAAAAGAATACTTAGAGGAACATACAAACACAGAACAAATCATTGAAGATATAGAAGATAAGTATGAAAGGAATATAGAAAATGATAATAAGAACCAAGAAATAACAAAATATGACAACATATTTATGAACCATCACAAAAAAGTAGAGTTACAAAATTTTTTTTAGGTTGAAGTAACAAGATTATTTTATTTATTCCACCAAGAATATTTTACAGTGAAATACAAATATATCTAAATCCAAACGATATTAAATAAATTAAAGAATCCAACAAATTTTAATGTCAAGTAAATGCTAAGATCCACACATTGAAAAATCGATTTGTATTTTTTAATTAAAGTTGTGATTTACTGATTATTATTGATAAAACTGTAAAACATCAACTGCAGTGATTTCATTACAAATGTATGATATTTAGTACTAATGAATTATGTAATAATTACTATTACTTTTCAAACTAATAATATCTAATATCAGAGAGATTATTGTTGTTATTACAGCATTTCCCGCCTTTTCGTTCTTTTTTGGTTCATCTAGACAATAGCAAACAATGTCCAAGAAGGAATTTGATGATATGAATGATGAGCATCTCATTAAAATACTGATATCCTTTCTCCTTATGAACAACATTTCTTCTTCTTCTTCTCCCTCCTCAAATAAAAAAGCAGTAGTCAGAGACACGGGCGGATCTACGGGGGGGGGGGGTTTCGGGCTGAAGCCGCCCCCAAAATGGAAAAATACAACCATGTTTTATGGAAAAAAAAATTTTAAAAATACCTCTTAAAGTATTATTGTTCGTGTAATTACATTTAAAAGGACTTAACGAATCCCTTAAACACCATTTCATATAGGTAGTTAGTTTCTTTCTGTTTTTCCAAAGTAATTATCGTTATTTTTATGAAAAAAGAAGGTTTCGGGCTGAAGCCCCCCCAAAATTAAATCCTGGATCCGCTAGTGGTCAGAGATAGGATGTCCATTTTTTTTTATCTTTGAAGGTAAAGCGAAATGTTCGAAGGTTATATAACAATCCCAGTGAACAGTTTCAGCGAAATAGCTACGCAACAGTGGTTGGCAGCGTGGAATTGCAGTCGCTGTCGTGGGCCACGCCAGCAAAATAGTACCTTAAGGAGTACCTCAAGAGTTTTCTAAAATAGGAACATGATGAATATTTTGGCCATAATACTTCTTTTCAACCTAATGGAGTTTCTGACATTCAATGAAACTATATATGTTATTAATTTTTTAGAATATATGTGTTGGTTGTATTGTTTTAACAACTAGTAAAAGTTAGTAAACAATGAAAACTAACTAGCCTGGCGTAGTAAGCCTAACAGGGCAAGGCATTGCTATTGCATCCTTTTGAAGTTGATGGTCAGAATTAGCAGAGAAGAAAAATAAATATTAGGAAAAGTAATAAAAACAAGTTGGAAAATACAATAAATTGGAACCAATAAGTGAAAAACGATAATTCTGGTAAATGACTGAACTTGAGTTCAGTAATTGATAAGGAAGTTATAGTTTCTTAAATAATCATTTTAAAAGAGATGATGTGAACAGCATTCTCACTTAATCTCCAGATTTTCCCCTCAACCCAATGAACTACTAGTACTCACATTGTAGAGGCTGAGTACGCTCCAGGAAGATTTTGCCAAAGTAGGTAAGTAGAAAATTTATTTAGCTGGGTTCAAATCATAGTCTATGAGATCGAAGTACAGACTTGCCCACTCTCCTAATTTATGCATAAGGTTATAACAAAATGAATGTATATATAAGTGTATATACATATACAATATAAGTAAGTATATATATATAATAAATGGCTGTAAAAGAAGAAAAAAAAACAAAAAAAGAGTTACGATATATATATATATATATATATATATATATATATATATATATATATATATATATATATGTGTGTGTGTATATATCGTAACTCTTTTTTTGTTTTTTTTTCTTCTTTTACAGCCATTTATTTACTTCTTTCCAAATTTCTTTTCACAGTTGTCTCTTACTTCCAGCGTCTATCCATCATATTATATATACCTTTCTCTCCTTTCCGTGATATCTAGCATCTTAACTACTTGCCATATAAATTCACAATCCCTTCCTGCTCATTATGACGAATTTCTCCAATATTTCATCCGTAATTTTAACCAAATGTCTCTGAAATATGGCTTAAGCCCTATATCTCTAACTCCTCGGTTCCTTACCTCATTATACCTTCATCCATCATGATCCGATGCCCCGGACTGGCGAAGGTGTAAGTCTCTATGTCTACAATAGCCTGAAACCTCGTATCCTAGATATTTCATTCCCTAGATATTTCCTTCTTTAGACTGCCCTCTGGAATAACACAGGATTTGATGAGCCTTTCACCTCTCTTATATAAATGATCTTCCCAAATCCATCTACCAGTGTTCACACCATTTAAATGCTGATAACTCCCAAATCTATTTATCTTTTCACTCTTCTCGCGTTCACCAATATTCAGGCAACCTAGACAGCATCAGTGCCTGGGAAGTGTGAATAATTTAAAGCTAAATGCGATGAAAGCTCAGGCCATCGTTATAGGTTCCAGTTCTCTTCTTAAATCCATCTCCTTCCTACCTCCTTTAGTCATCACATCCCATCACATTCAGCTCAGCCTAGGACCTAGGAATCACCATTAATGAAAGCCTCTACTGGAAACTCCATATCGCCCTCATCTCTTGAAAGTCAATTGGTACCCTTAAGTTATTTCATCACTCCCGCCATCTACTCCCACAACCTATCCCCAAGCTCTTTGTATCCTCTCTTATATTTCCCTCCTTTGACTACAGCTGTGTGGTGTATGGAGGCGTCCTGATGGTACTTGTGGATAGATTGAAGCAACTTATGAACTTCTGCTCACGATTTGTCTTCGACACTTTGAGGCGGTCTAAAGGCGTTGTCCCACCTTTACGACTAGTAATTCTCTTCTTCCCAATATTTCCAAAACAATATTTCCTTGGATCTTTCCTATTTCAAATGATCAACACCATGACACCCTTCCTACATCTACAATCTCTTATGGTTTAAAACCGTAGTCCACTCCCAGGAAACAAGATCCAGTGTTTCCGACCTTTATATCATATCATCTCTACCAATTCCTTCTCACATCCCAAAATGAAGTACAATGAAATAAATATTATGAATCAAATTTTGACTGAGGTGAATGGTTGTTGAAATTGTTTGAATATTAATTTTAAGAATAAATTCATGGTGCTTATAACATTTTTTATTTCCCCTGATTTCTGCTTTTCTTTTCATTTCAATAATGTTTGTTTTTTTAAAAATAGATTTACTTTTTTTGTTTATTTTAATATATTTTCACTGAAGATATTGTATATATTCTTTAATTTTGATTAATGTAATTTTTGGCCAGATGTGGTTTATTTTTTGTTTATAATCGTTATTCTTAAGGGAACTCATCTTAGAATAAAGTTTATTTTGAAAATACAACAAATAAATTCAATTTGTTGTTAATTGGAAGTCATCATTGCCAAATAACAAAGAATAACATACAACTTCCCAGAAAAAAGAAGTTTATTTTCTATTCTAGTCTATTATATATATATATATATATATATATATATATATATATATATATATATATATATATGTGTGTGTGTGTGTGTGTGTGTGTGTGTGTATAATAACAAGTAAAAGATCAATCTGTATAACAAAAATTTAGGATAGCTGTCTATAGTCAGCAGTCACACAAACCACTTATTTGAACAAATAAATAAATTATTCATTTTTTAAGAAATAAATATTTTTAAAAAATTAAACAAAGTAGACTTAGGTAACTAAATTTAAACAGTATAAGATAGATTGATGATAAGAATCAGTAATAAAGACAAATTATCTCATTATTGTATTAGTTGGAAATTCCCTTAATACAGAAATAACAAGATTCAATGAAAGTTCAAATAAGCAACATTAAGAAAAGCTATATTAAAGTAAATACAATCAGATAAATATTTATTTAAATTTCACAATTCTGATCGCTATTGCTTACTAACAGTTAATTATATTACAAAAATTAGAGTACAAAGAAGAAATAGTTAGAAAAAAAGAAGAAAACTCTTTACCATGTAATAGGAGAGCAACAGAGCCTGTTGTAAATTTAGAATCTATAAATGAATAGATGTATTTGTTTCCTTTGTATGTTATTTTGTAGCTTTTATTAGTATCAAAACCTTGGATATCCATATGTTTTACCTAAAAAATAATAAGTAATATTTAAAGATAACATAATGTTATTAAAGTAGATTAATAATTATTCAAACAAATGTACACTAGACACAAAATTTAAAAACAAAATAGTTTAATAGTTTATTTAGAAATTTTAACTTAAAAGATATTTGAATTAAGACAAACTTACATCAAAATTCATCTTCAAACACCAAGCGTTAAATGATGATGTGTAAATTTTTTTAGCTGTTGGTGATACAATTGAGGCTAAATTATGACACGATGTGTCAATATGAGTGAGAAAATGCAAGCATTCCTGAAATATTAAAAAAAAAAAATTAAAATTCATAATATAGATGTATTTGTGTGTATGGGTATATATATATATATATATATACATATATGGATGTATATATGCATGTACGTGTGTGTGTTTTTTTTTTCGGTTGGCACTAAAGACCATGAAGATCTTTGACAGCGAGATGAAGTCTCCTTTCAGACATGTATTAATTGGGATTACCTATTGCAAGCGCCTTAGCCCGCAAGGCTACCCTAGCCCCCCCTCCTATATATATATATATATATATATATATTATTATATTATTATTAAATGAGCAATATATATATATATATTATTATATATTATTATTAAACGAGCAATATATATATATCATAACAAGACATAAGGAGTTATTGTGAAGCAGACTGTGATTCGGACCATACTCTGATCAGAATAAAACTCTGTCAGAGGCTGAAGCGAATCCACCGAATTGGGGACCAAGTGGAAAGAAAGAGGTACGAAGTCCATAATTTGAAAAACCCTATAGTACAGGCTGAATTTCAAATTGAGCTGAAAAATAAATTTGAATCCTTGAACGTGGACCTCACTGTTGACCAACACTGGAAGGCACTAGAGTCAGGGCTAAAACAAACAGCTAAGGAAGTAATAGGGATTCAGGAAAAAAGAAAAGCCAAGAAATGGTTCACAGAAGCATGCAAAAAGGCAGTGGAGGAAAGAAGAAAAGTTCTCTGCTTAGGAAAAATTGATCAAGCTATGCTGGACAAATACACAGACGCCAGGAAAAAGACAAACAAAATAATAAAAACAGCCAAAAGAGTATTCCTCAAAGAAAGATTACAAACTATTGAGAAAAACTGGCAGGCTCGAAATATATGCGAATCCTTCGCAGATATCAGGAAAGAAAGGGTAGGATATAAAGTGAGAAATACACAAAAGCGAGGGAAAGATGGCAAACTGACAGCATCAAAAGAAAAGATCCTAAACATCTGGAAGGAACACTTTCAGCAGCTGCTTTATCAAGGGCACTCCACAAATGAAGAAGACATGGACCATACTGAGGACGTCGATGGACTTGAGGTTGAAAAACTAGATATTCTGGATGTGGAAATAGCTACCGACAGGCTTAAAAGAAGAAAGGCTCCAAGGATAGACAACCTACCATCAGAATTATTCAAGGATGGAGGAGAAGACCTCACAGCCAAGCTGTTAGATCTAATCCAGAAGATATGGGAGAAGGAATGGATACCAGAAACATGGAACATAGGATTGATCTCTCCTATCCTTAAGAAGGGCTCCATGCATGAATGTGGCAATTACAGAGGCATAGCACTTCTTCCGGTCACCTATAAAATTATGACTAATATTCTGCTAAATTGGATATATCCGTATTATGAAAATATAATAGGCGACCATCAAACAGGATTCAGGAGAGGGAGGAATATGCTAGATCAGATATTCATCCTAAAACAAGTACTTGAAAAACGATGGGAAGTAGATTAGGACGTACACGCATTATTTGTCAACTTCAAAGCAGCCTATGACTCCGTGGACAGAAACTGTCTCTGGAAGATCATGACTGAGCTGGGTGTTCCCAGGAAATTAGTGAGGTTAATGAAGGCGTGTACAAATGTTCCTAAATGCAGGATACTAATAAAAGAAGTTTCTGTAGCCTTTGAAGTTCAAACAGGTTTGAGGCAGGAAGATGGACTCTCGCTGATGCTGTTCAACTTAGCACTAGAGAAAGTAATAAGAATAACATCACGCAAAGATGTAGGGATGCACGTTGGAATGAAACTGAAAATCTTAGCATATGCGGATGATATAGCTGTCCTGGGAAGTAATTAAGAGGATAGTGAGACTCGCTCGCACTTCTTTATAAGAAGCAGAGCAAATTGGACTACCAGTCAATGTAGATAAAACAAAATACATGATAGCCGAAACATCCACCCTAATAACATGATCTGTTTGACCCTAATAACGGACTCTAAGTGATTCCCGAAAGTAGACAGATTTAAATACCTCGGCTCCACAATAAATGATCAACTAACAGAGATAGACCAGCGAATAACAAGTGCGAACCGATCTTCCCTCTCTCTTTCAAGGGTACTGAAATCCAGAAATCTAAGGGTATATAACGCCGTGATTAAGCCAGTTCTGCTGTACGGTTGTGAAAACTGGGCTGTAACCGGCACACTAGAAGCCAGGAGTGAGAGATTCAAAAGAAAAGTTCTATGTAGTATAACAGGACCTATATGGGACCAGAACCTTGTCACATGGAGGAGAAGGAACAATAAAGAACTGTTGAAAGAAACGAGTCAGTCAATATCTCATGACATGAAGGCAAGGAGGTTAAGATGGGCAGGGCATGTAGCACGTAGCAATCCATCAGGACGCCTTTACACAACAATGAATGCCAGAGTAGTAGGTAAGAGACCACGTGCGAGGCCAAAAACCAGATGGAAAGATAGGATAAACAAAGATACGGCTGAGCTTCATGCTACAAACTGGAAAGTAGTAGCCCAAGATAGGCAGAGGTGGAGAAGGCTGGTTCAGGCGGCCAGTAGAGCCAAACAAAAAATATATATATATATATATATATATATATATATATATATATATATATTTATAAATAAATATATATATTTATAAATAAATATATATTTATAAATAAATATATATATTTATAATAAATATATATATTTATAAATAAATAAATAAATTATATATATATATATATATATATATATATATATATATATATATATATATGTATGCATTTACACATAATACATATATAGAGGGAGATTAATGGATGAAGCCATGGATTCATGTTGATTTGTCTTTCTTCTTGAAACTGAGTGAGCCGGTGGGAAGGACATTGCCAGATAGGTGCCAAAACCTATTCCCTGTTAAGAGCAAGTTGGACCACCTCATAGTTAAGATCCTGAGACCGGCCCTACAGGTGGTGAGTTTGGTCAACAATAGGATGAGGCGCCAGAGATGTTGTAGTCTGGTAACCTTCATCACCACAGAATGGCACTGAACCTGGTTAAGAAGGACAGGACTGTATGCATTGGGAAAGAAGGACTAGACCAAGACTAGTTGAGGAGGGACATTACCTATACATTGAAGAGTTCATGGGAAGATACAGGGAGATGTACTAGTAGAGTACAGATATAGAGATAGAGAGATAGTAGTCAATACACAACACAATACAAAGGGGCTGCCCACCAGAAGCTGAACAGGTTCAAGAAGAGGACGGTGAAGAAGACGACCAAAGGACTGGATGGATGCAGAAGAACCAGACCAAAAGCAGAGTGATTGGAGGTTTGGCCATACAACTCAGGTCAGAAGGTACACACTCAAACACTGGACAGCACTACAGTAATCTGTTGTTCCTTAAAAAATAATTTGTTAATTCTTTTTTTTTGGGAATAATGGCTTATTGTTGATCAAATTAAACAGATCCTTACAGTTGTATAATGGGAAAATTCAGAATAAAGAGTTTTATTGGCAGTTAAGGACATACTTATTAATCCACTGCTGCTGAAACCACATAAGCCAGAAACACTGAATATGGATATTGAATATAAGACAAAATACAGAAATATGGAAGAAAATATTCCCCCAAAGGATTCAGCAATGGAGCAATAGATATATGCCTTTGCATCCTGAAGACCATGGTTTATAGGAACATGAGAATGGGTGACTCCCTTCAGGCTAACAATGCTACCGCAAGCAATGTACGTCTGTAAGAGATTACATACATCCCCGTATATCTACAAGGTCTATAGTACCGACATAAACAAAAAAATATTATATATATTCTTTTCCTGAGAATCTTGAGGTTCATTCAATAAACATCTTTTAGCTCTATTTTGAGATTTGATTGTTCTCATTTTCATGCCTTACTGTGGTGTGTTGCTTTAAGAGATACTCCTCAAAAGGGAAATAATCAGAATAGTGGAATGAACAGGTAAAAGCAGTTGTAGAGAAAAAATTGTGTAGAAGACATATCTAAACCACAAAAATTACAGAACCTAAGACTATACGTTCAACGGAGAAACAAGCCAAAAGTAATTGAACAGATATAAAAAAAAAGAGGTAGGAAGGATTGGGCCAAAATAAAAAGAAATATTATAAAGAATAAATTAGACTTCAGAAAAGAAAAAAAATCTTGAAAGGCATGTAGTCCAACCAATAACAAACATGAAAAATAATGGTAGAAAAATTCTGACCAAGAAAATTATATACCAGACAAATGGAGATGGAATGATGTTTGAAGATCATAAATACCAAGAAAATGAAACTACAGAAAAGCATATGATGAGGTACTATATGTGAAGATGAAGTTTTCTAAATTCCAAAATGTCTTGGTGCTAAAAGAGTTATCAGTAATATTCAGATTCATCAGTATAATCAAAGAGTCTGATATGTTCGTTCAACAAGATCAGCTTGGGTTCGTATGAACCACCCCTCACTGTAATTTGTTAAATTAAATGAAAATAGATTGCTTTGGATGCTCCAATTTCTGCATTGCCAATTATAACAGCTTCCAAGCAACTCTGTACAAATAAATCATGGGTTTGAATGAATTAATTTCTTCTTTCCTCAATCTACCATGGAATAAAATTCTGGTGTTGTAAACTCAGCACCAGTATTGCTCTTTACTGATCCTACAATTAGGAAGAGTACTGCAAGCAATCCACATATACTCGTACTGAAGTAGGGTAGGGTAGAGAAGGGGTTTTAGGCCAATAAATAGCAGGATTATTACGTCCTAAACTGAAGTAGTCATAGACTTCACATATCTTGAATCAGATTGAGAAAGTTAACTCATAACCACAAGAACTTGATTTACTAATGGATCAGTAATATTGTGATTGGGGAACGAGAAATAAGCAATTAAGTGAAGCTCTAAATGTTTGAGTTTTTACACCCATTTATACATTAATAAAATGAATAATAAGACAGGCAAGATTGCAGAATCATGGCTGCTGAAATTAAGTTGATCTACAGAGAAACAAGGAAAACAATAAGGTCTGCATCACTAACGGAAGGATCAGAAAGCAACTCAAGGTCATGAAGGAAGTCTTCTAACACTTGTCTTTCTAATTAAAGTGGATTGGTTGTTTCCTCATGATAAAAGAACATAAGACCTAATAAAAGATCAAGCAATATGTTTCTGATAGCAGATCTCGAGGGCACCGTAGGATATATCTGAAGAAAATTGACTAGGGCAAAAGTCTCCAACATAGTTGATGGAACCTAACCGACATTCAGTACCAAAGAAGAGTGGCAGTCTTGGTTAAATACTAACTTACACCGACAAGAGGAATAGAGTACTTAGAAAGTATAAGAAAGACTGTAGGTGACCTCGGGAAAGTGATTTTTTTGGAAAGGGGGAGGAAGAGCCAGCTTATCTTATAATTACCACAATGATCAAAAAGCAATAGAAATGGATCCTATACCAAGTAAATTCTCTATCAGAGTGAAACCATATTATATTTCATAAATTATATAATAATTACAAAATAGATTTAAATGTACATGTCTTTAAAATATAAGACAAGTGATGGAAGTTTTAAAGTATAGTAAAAAAAAAAAAAAAAAAAAAATAATGCTCCAAAAGGAATTAATTTAAATATAAAATTTCATGAAAACACTGATTGATACATCATATTGATAAATAATAAACCTTCATGATGAATAATATTTTTTCTTCCTATAACAAACATAAAATTAATAAAAATCTTAACTTATTTGTCAATAATAAGAAAATCGACTTGATTATTGTAAGAAACAAGTAATATTACATCTAATTTAAACTATATAATTTTCAATGTCTGCAAAATAAAAGTTTTAATAATCTTTTGTCAGTTTGTTCTCCTTCGCAACTTTTATTTATGGAAATAAAAGAAGATCTGTGACAACATAGCAATATGTCCTATGATAGCACTGTAATATAAAGAACAAAAGTCAGTAGTTCAGTGATATGTTAGATACATTGATGGTAATGTATAATTAAAAAGAACAAGTTATTAGCCATTGGATTACTTATGATTACACTTAATATAACTATAAAACAACAGCTCTTAAGTCAAGAAAAGATTTTCCTACTTGAGGCACAAAACTATCAGGAACAAGGCATTCAGCTATGAGTGATAGAACCATATTTCAATCCTACCAGATTTGAATTCTTAATTTAATCAATATAACAAATATAATAAACATTAATAGCTTTGAACAATGCAATATTATTTTTACAATAAAGGATGACTTTCTTAACAGTAGCTTCTAATTAATGTCAACATTAATATGATTAAAGTATTGAAAATATCAAACTACATTGTACATAAACAAGTCAATGAATAACGTAAAGCCGTAATAAAAATGGAACAGAATGCATAAAAAACAAAACAATAACTTTAGATTCAATACTATTGCATGAACACAAAAACCCAGTAGGAATTTAGTAAAAGTTTTGCATTATCTTGTATTTGTATTTCAACATATGTTTTAAGAAGCAAATACATAGTACTGAAACAAAGTTGTCTTAACGATTGATACAAAAATAAACTGATAAGTTTCGAACTGAACACTATAACAAATCAAACAAATAAGGATATTTTCCTTCACTAATAAACTTTATACTTACATCTCTGTCGGCATTTTTATAATTAACCACGACGTCGTCGGTTAATATATGTCCTAGGTATTTAGGCATTGCTACAATAACAACGTACTAGCGAAAGTGTGTTTAAAATGTTCAGAATCTGACGGGATAACCTCTTCGGGAGGTAATTATCAAATGCTAGTTTTATCATAGTAATTTATATCTTTCATTCTTTTATATATATTTTAAAAATATATGGGCATTTCATTATTAAGTTTTATAAACACTTGAAACTTTGTTTTACTGTAAGTATCTTTTTCCATTTATTTGTGATAATGAAGAGGTACTGAAGCCTCTGCTCAAATAATTACAATTGTGGTGTCGGTTTAGTTGTATCATTAACAGCTACCTATTTTCCAGAAAAAAGTAATACATTTTTAGTAATCATTGGCGGACTGTTTCGAATCTGTCATAATGTTTCCTATATCATGTTTCTCTCGAGCGTTTCCAACTCTTGATTTCAACGGTACAGTAGTGCCCAGAAGTAGAGTTTATGGCGCAAGTTGTGTCCTCAAAATTTATGAGAGTAGTGTTGTAAAGTTAATAAACCAGCTGACATCAAGAAAACTTTATTATATAACTCCAAGCCATAATTACAAACTGAGAAGTTACAACAACATATTAAATCTAGACAGAGATGACATAACATTCTAATACAAATAATATAATTATTAAACCTAATGAAATATTAATTGTTAATTATAATACATGCTCTTCTTTTTTCTTTCATTCTGCCATTTTTAGTAGTTTTGAGATCACTAGCCACGTTTTTAGTAGTTTAGAATTGGACTTTTGACTTTAGGTGTCGGAGTGTCTAATATCCATATCCAGAATCTTTACATTTACTAAGTAAGTTTTTAAAAGCACTTTCAGCCATGCCATTAGATTTAGATTGATATGGACTAGTTTAACTGTTTCAATTGTCCAATCTTCAGTAAAGTTTAGAAATTCTGCGATGAAAAGGGTGGACCTCTGTCTGCACTAGCTGGACTGGAATTCCGAAACGGCAAAAAATTGTTTTAAAGCAACTGATCACTGTTGGAGCATTTATACTAGTTACGTTAATCATTCCGATAAACTTAAAATAATAGTCAACGACAATTAGATACATGCGTTGATCAAAACTTGAAAAGTCAGCTACAACTTTCTGCCATGGCATTGAGGGCACTTGATGAGATTCCATGAAATCCTGGCGTTAATGAGAAAGACATGTACCACATGATTTAATTAAATTTTTTATATCCACCGACATATTTGACCAGTGTATTACACCTCTGATCATTGCTAGGATACGTTCTAAGCCCATATGTGCTACATGGACCGTCGATAACAATTTTTTCCCTAGACTTTTTGGGATTATTATGCTGTCGTTTCGGCATAACAGGCCGTCAATAATGTTTCTTTTGCCAAAACTTCAACACGGCTTTACAAATGGAGCAACTTCAGATTTGGAGTTTGGCCGTCCACTCTGATAATAATGAAGAAGAATTTCCAATTCTTCATCATATTTGGTTTGTTTCTTTATTCAATGTATGGTATCTGGTCTAACTGGAAATTAATTTGTTATTAAATTTACGTGAGACGCTATTTCTTCATCTAATTAGTCACTGGGGAACCAATGGCGAATGGTGTGTTACTATGGTGATTTTTGGTACCCAAATGTATTGCCTGAATTTAGTGCAGCCATGTATCACTGCGTACAACCCCTTCTCTATTTAGGCATAACTTAGATGAGCAATTTTCAACAATTGTAAGTGCAATGTTATTGCTAATTCCTATTAACTTAATTTAGACTATTAGTTGTCTATGAAACTATTTTTTTAATCACAGCAGTATGGCATTAATATGAGAATGATCAGACTGCTGTACCTTGATTCAAGCACTTAAACAAGGGGAATATGAGCCTTGCAGATAATCTCAGATCAATTCGCTTATTGATGATGACATTCTTCTTGAATGTGTGAACCAGGACCCACATGTAAATAAGCGTGATTTATCGGCTGAAGAAGGGGCTTCTAATGGGGCAACATTGGCTGGTCATCTGAAAAACCTGAGATTATGGTCCGACGGTTACTAAGGCCCGACCTGAATTACTTGACAGAGGCCCAAGCCTATCAGTGAGTTAAATTAGCAAAATTTTAATTCAAAATCTGAAAGATAACCGGTTATGGAAAAAAGATAACAAGTGACGAAAAGTAGATATTTTGCAAATGCCCTAGCAAATATTAACAGGGAGTACGGCCAGGTAAAGATGCAAAACCAGATGTTCGCATCATTAGTTGTCAGACAAGTCAAGAGATGCTCTGTGTTTCGTTGAACTTGGAAGGCGTTCTGCATTTTTAACTTGTTCCTGATATTTGGGCAGTGGACTCAGACCTTTACTGTGAACAACTAGACAGTTTTGAATCCAAAGTACACCGCATTGGTTAACAGGAACCAAGCACTTCACACCATTCTTGTTTGACCAAGAAAAAATTATCAGAACTACAAGCAGTAAACTCTTTGCTTTATCCTGCATGTAGCCCAGATATTGCACCATCAGATCAAGGTTTCTTAGATCAATGGCTCATTTTTTAAAAGATCGGATCTTTAATAATTATGGGAACCTAAAAATTGGATGAGAAGAGTTCTTTGTCTCAAAGCCAAAGGAATAGTACAAGTATCAAATCCAATTATTGGCGATAAAATAAGATGGGCGAAAGCAGTCGAAAACAATGGACTTTACTCTGAAGAGTAATATTCAATAACGTTTGAAATATGAAACAAAGCTATATTTAAGCACAGGGACTTTTTTGAAAATCTAGTAGAATCAATTTTTTGATTTTAGTAATTTTCTATGACTCACTCCATAAAATAGGATTGAAACGATCAGGAATTTTAAAGTTGGGCTTCTGCAACACACTAAATTACTTAACTTTTCAGATCCTAACAGTGACTCAACTTCATGGTCCTGTTGCTTATTTCATTGGTATGACATTTCCCCCAATTATCAAGTTTCCAAGAAAAGTGAATGCATCCTTTTTTTTAGCGTTAAGCTAATCTAGAACTCCACATCTATCCCTGTTACCAATCCAATAAACATAAATTTTGTCCCTTTAGTTGTTACAGTTTTTCCAAAGTCCAAAATGCCTTGGTGCTAAAAGACTCACCAGTAATATTCAGATTCATCAGTAATCAAAGAGTCTGATATGTTCGTTCAACAAGATCAGCTTGGGTTCGTATGAACCACCCCTCACTGTAATTTGTTAAATTAAATGAAAATAAATTGCTTTGGATGCTCCAATTTCTGCATTGCCAATTATAACAGATTCCAAGCAACTCTGTACAAATAAATCATGGATTTGAATGAATTAATTTATTCTTTCCTCAATCTACCATGGAATAAAATTCTGGCGTTGTAAACTCAGCACCAGTAAAGAGCAAGATCCTACAATTAGGAAGAGTACTGCAAGCAATCCACATATACTCGTACTGAAGTAGTCATAGACTTCACTTATCTTGAATCAAATTGAGAAAGTTAACTCATAACCACAAGAACTTGATTTACTAATGGATCAGTAATATTGTGATTGGAGAACGAGAAATAAGCAAGTAAGTGGAGCTCTAAATGTTTGAGTTTTTACACCCATTTATACATTAATAAAATGAACAATAAGCCAGGCGAGATTGCAGAATCATGGCTGTTGAAATTAAGTTGATCTACAGCGATGCAAGAAAAACAATAAGGTCTGCATCACCAACGGAAGGATCAGAAAGCAACTCAAGGTCACCTCAATGAAGGAAGGCTTCTAACACTTATCTTTCTAATAAAAGTGGGTTGGTTGTTTCCTCATGATAAAAGAACAGAGGACCTAATAAAAGATCAAGCAATATGTTTCTGATAGCAGATCTTGAAGACACCGTAGTATATCATATCTGAAGAAAATTGACTAGGGGAAAAATCTCCAACATAGTTGATGGAACCTAATCGACATCCAGTACCAAAGAAGAGTGGCAGTCTTGGTTAAAACTAACTTACACCGACAAGAGGAATAGAGTACTTAGAAAGTATAAGAAAGACTGTAGGTGACCTCGGGAAAGTGTTTCTATTTTTTGGGAAGGGGGAGGAAGAGCCAGCTTATCTTTTAATTACCACAATGATCAGAAAGCAATAGAAATGGATCCTATACCGAGTAAATTCTCTATCAGAGTGAAACCATATTATATTTCATAAATTATATAATAATTACAAAATAGATTTAAATGTACATGTCTTTAAAATATAAGACAAGTGATAGAAGTTTTAAAGTTTAGTACAAAAAAAAAAAAAAATAATAATAATGCTTAAAAAGGAATTAATGTAAATATAAAATTTCATGAAAACACTGATTGTTACATCATATTGATAAATAATACACCTTCATGATGAATAATATTTTTTCTTCCTATAACGAAGATAAAATTAATAAAAATCTTAACTTATTTGTTAATAATAAGAAAATCGACTCGGTAGAAACAAGTAATATTACATCTAATTGAAACTATATAATTTTCAAAATATGCAAAATAAAAGTTTTAATAATCTTTCGACAAAACCTTTTGTCAGTTTGTTCTCCTTAGCAACTTTTATTTATGGAAATAAAAGAAGATTTGTGACAACATAGTGATATGTCCTATGATAGCACTGTAATATAAAGAATAAAAGTCAGTAGTTCAGTGATATGTTAGATACATTGATGGTAATGTATAATTAAAAAGAGAAAGTTATTAGCAATTGGATTATTTATGCTTACACTTGATAAAACTATAAAACAACAGCTCTTAAGTCAAGAAAAGATTTTCCTGCTTGAGGCACAAAACTATCAGGAATAAGGCATTCAGTTAAGAGTGATAAAACCATATTTCAATCTTACCAGATTTGAATTCTTAATTTAATCATTATAACAAATATAATAAACATTAATAGCTTTGAACAATGCAATATTATTTTTACAATAAAGGATGACTTTCTTAACAGTAGCTTCTAATTAATGTCAACATTAATATGATTAAAGTATTGAAAATATCAAACTACATTGTACATGAACATCACAAATAAACAAGTCAATTAATTACGTAAAGCAGTAATAAAAATGGAACAGAACGCCTAAAAAACAAAACAATAACATTAGATTCAATACTATTGCATGAACACAAAAACCCAGTAGGAACTTAGAAAGTTTTTGCATTATCTTGTATTTGTATTTCAACATATGTTTTAAGAAGCAAATACATAGTACTGAAACAAAGTTGTCTAAACGATTGATACAAAAATATCCTGATAAGTTCCGAACTGAACACTATAACAAATCAAACAAATAAGGATATTTTCCTTCACTAATAAACTTTATACTTACATCTCTGTCGGCATTTTTATAATTAACCACGACGTCGTCGGTTAATATATGTCCTAGGTATTTAGGCATTGCTACAATAACAACGTACTAGCGAAAGTGTTTTTAAAACGTTCAGAATCTGACGGGATAACCTCTTCGGGAGGTAATTATCAAATGCTAGTTTTATCATACTAATTTATATCTTTCATTCTTTTATATATATTTTATAAATATATGGGCATTTCATTATTAAGTTTTATAAACACTTAAAACTTTGTTTTACTGTAAGTATCTTTTTCCATTTATTTGTGATAATGAAGAGGTGTTGAAGCCTGTGTTCAAACAATTACAATTGTGATGTTGGTTTAGTTGTTTCATTAACAGCTACCTATTTTCCAGAAAAAAGTAATAGATTTTTAGGAATCATTGGCGGACTGTTTCGAATCCAACATACTGTTTCCTATATCATGTTTCTCTTGAGCGTTTCCAACTATTGATTTCAACGGTACAGTAGTGCCCAGAAGTAGAGTTCATGGGACAAGTTGTGTCCTCAAAATTTTTGAGAGTAGTGTAGTAAAGTTAATAAACGAACTGACATCAAGAAAACTTTATTATATAACTCCAAGCAATAATTATAAACTGAGAAGTTACAACAACATATTAAATCTAGACAGTGATGCCAATACATTCTAATACAAATAATATAATTATTAAACCTAATGAAATATTACTCATTTAGTTCATCAGTAACGCTAGAAGGTGATGAATTGGTATTTAATTCCTCTGAATAGCCATTTTTGTTAGTTCGAGGAGAAACGGTCTTGGGAATCTGAGCAGGGAGAAGCCTGAGTGATTTGCTCCACGTTACTAAAATACTGAATATTTGAAGCACAAGACTCTTTCTGATGCTTGTTTCGTCTAGGCTTGATTATTGGCCATGGTTTATCCAGGTGATGAACTCTGTTTCTGAACTGTCCCAACTTTTAAGCATGTATGATCTAGCTTCTACTAGTTTTATTACAGAACCAGGAATTCAATGCTCGTTTGGCTTGCGTTAAAATGGATTTCTTCTCCAATATTGTGTTCGGACAAAGGTCGACTTATTCCGTCGTAAAATGCTACAGAATTGTCCTGTTTTTTTAATACTTCTTTCAAATGGTACCTTCTGTTAATATTTTTTGGTTCTAAAAGCTTACTTTTTACAGTTTAGACGTCTGGACATTTACAATAGTGCAGGGGATGGCATTTTGACTTTAGGTGTAGGAATGTCTAATATCCATATCCAGAATCTTTACATTTACTAAGTAAGTTTTTAAAAGCACTTTCAGCCATGCCATTAGATTTAGAATGATATGGACTAGTTTAACTGTTTCAATTGCCCAATCTTCAGTAAAGTTTAGAAATTCTGCGATGAAAAGGGTGGACCTCTGTCTGCACTAGCTGGACTGAAATTCTGAAACGGCAAAAAATTGTTTTAAAGCAACTGATCACTGTTGGAGCAATCCTGGCGTTAATGAGAAAGACATGTAGCACATGATTCAATTAAATTTTTTATATCCACCGACATATTTGACCAGTGTATTACACCTCTGATCATTGCTAGGATACGTTCTATGCCCATATGTGCTACATGGACCGTCGATAACATTTTTTTCCCTAGACTTTTTGGGATTATTATGCTTTTGTTTCGGCATAACAGGCCGTCAATAATATTTCTTCTGCAAAACTCCAACACGGCTTTGCAAATGTAGCACTCTGACAATAATGACGAAGAATTTTCTATTCTTCATCATATTTGGTTGCTTCCTTGATTCAATGTATGGTATCTGGTCTAACTGGAAATTAATTTGTTATTAAATTTACGTGCGACGATATTTCTTCATCTAATTAGTAACTGGTATATGGCCATGGAGACCTATGAT